AGATACACCTGAGATACACCTGAGATATAACTGAGATACACCTCAGATACACCTGAGATACCCCTGAGAAACACCTGAGATACACCTGAGATACACCTGAGCTACACCTGAGATACACCTGAGATACACCTGAGATACACCAGAGATACACCAGAGATACACCTGAGATACACCTGAGATATAACTGAGATATAACTGAGATACACCTGAAATACACCTGAGATACACCTCAGATACACCTCAGATACACCTAAGCCACACCATAAAATACACCTGAGATATACCTGAGATACACCTGAGATACACCTGAGATATAACTGAGATACACCTCACCCGAACCTGAGATACACCTGAGATACATCTGAGATACACGAGTTACACCTGAGCCACACCTGGTCAGCAGTTATGAACGATAATCATTACAGACATTTAGCGGTGAAGGACGCCCCCACCCCTCCAAGTTACCTGTGCAGGTGTTGCCAACCAGCTTGTAACCATGGCGACAGACACACCTGAAGCTGCCCGGCGTGTTGTCACAGCGACCGTCTGAGCAGGGCTCCTGCTGACACTCATCCACGTCTGAGACACAAATACAAACATGTTAACAAATAAAGAACTGTTCTAAAAAATAGTGACAATTTTTTTTTATCATTTATAAATGGTTTATTAAAATAATTTAATTGAAGAATATTTTTAAAAATGTTGAATATATATATATATATATTTCTAGTGTTTGAGGAGTCATTTCTGTACTTTTTGAATAGTTTTTTAATTTGAATTTGAAATAGCTTTTGTTCTCTTTCAGTCATTTACAGAAGTAGAAACTATCATTAGCTCATTTTTTAAGCTTTTTAATCAATCTAATGTGTTTTTTCTACATTTTCTTCATAGTGAACACAGACAGGAAGTTGGCGTTACCGTGGCAACCGTTCTGCTGGCTGTTGCTCGTGAACCCGGGTGGACACACACACCTGTAGCTGCCAGGTGTGTTCACACACTCCCCGACCGAACACACACCTGGAGACCGCGCACACTCGTCCACGTCTGCAGAAAAACACCCAAAAAACACACAGCAGAGTTCAGATTTCAGATTTAAAAATAAGAAACTGATCAAACTGCATTAGCATTCAGAGCAATAAAAACAGAAACAAAACCAACAGAAATTATTATAAAAAGTCAGATAACACTCAAAATAGCCCGTTTAAATTGGAATAAATTAGTCTTGGAGGAAAGATTCTGTTAAATAAACAAACAATTTTCAAACTGGAAACAAAAGAAATCAAATCAGCAGAAACTGATCCAGAAAATCTAAAAAATCATTGATTATTTTGCTCATGTTTCACTAAAGATTGAATAAATAGCATCCTTAATTAAACATTTATAGGACAGAATTGTTTTTTTGTTTTTTTTCCTGTTTTCTACTTATGGTAAATATCATATAAATATATGATATTTACCATAATATATATACAGTATATATATTTTTATTTATTTATTTTTAATGAAATCTATAAAAGATATCAATATGAATCAATATTCAATTATATTAATTAATATGATATTAATATGATATTTATCATAAGTAAATAAGTAAATATATACTGTATATTTCTTGCAATAAAGTCTATAAAAATATAAATATTGATATAAACTAATTTACCATAAACCAATATGCAATTATATAAATTAATATATATTTGTATGAATAATTATGTATAATTATGTCATTAATGATATTAAGATATGATAAAAAAAACATCAAAGGCGTCTCACCGCTGCATGATGATCTGTTGGCGTTCAGCTGGAAGCCCCGCCCACACACACAGGTGTGTTTCCCCCCGGGCTGATCCACGCACAGGCCCCGCCCACACACACCTGGCCGACTGCTGCACACGCCTAACACACACACACACACACACACACACACACACACATACAGAAACACACACACACACACACAGATACACACACAGAGACACACACACAGAGACACACACACAGAAACACATACAGACACACACAGGCATAAACACACACACGTACACAGAAACATACACACACACACACAGAAACACACGCAGACACACACACATATACAAGTACACATACGCACACACACACACACACAGATACACACAGGGACAGACACAAACACACATGGACACACGCACATACAGACACACACAGGGACAGACATACACACACACAAACACACACACAGAGACACACACACACACAGAAACACACACACAGAAACACACACACAGAAACACAAACACAGAAACAAACACAAAGACAGGCACAGGCACACACACATATACAAGTACACACACACACACACACACACAGAAACATATACAGAAACACACAGACACACAGACACACACACACAGAAACACAAACACATATACAGAAAAACACACACGCAGATACACACACACATACAGACACACACACACACACACAGACACACACAAACACACACACACACACAGAAACAAACACACACGGACACACACACAGACACACAGACACACACACACACAGACACACGAACAAACACACAGACACAAACATACACACACACACACAGAAACACACACAGACACACACACTCTCTGAATGTTCCGGTCTGGGATCAGGACTCGGTTCTGACCTCAGACCTCAGATACTCACTCTGGACCCGGTCGGGTCGGGCTGTCGGGCCCAGGGAGGCCCGGTTCTGCTCGGTTCTGGACCCGGAACCGGGCCGGGTCTCCTTCTGGTCGGTTCTGGACCCGGAACCGGGTCGGGTCTCCTTTTGGTCGGGTCCAGAGTCTACTTGGGTTGTCTTCGGGTCGGTTCTGGACCCGGAACCGGGATGGTTGGTTCTGGACCCGGATGTTGGCTGGTCGGTTCTGGACCCGGAAGTTGGCTGGTCAGTTCTGGTACCAGAACCGGGCCTGGTCTCCTTCTGGTCGGTTCTGGACCCGGACACTGGCTGGTCGGTTCTGGACCCAGAACCGGGCCTGGTCTCCTTCTGGTCGGTTCTGGACCCAGAACCGGGTCGGCTTTCTGCTGAGAGCAAAAACCGAACCATGAGGAAGACCTGCTGAGCTGAATTCGGGGTTCTGATCCCGGTCCTGGTTCTGGTTCTGGTACCTTGACTCCGGGTCGGGGGGGGCTGAGGTTCTGGTCGTGCTGGGGCAGAACCGGGCCGGTTCTGGTGGGTGGGGGTTCTGCTCTGTGGGGGTCCGGGTCTGGTACCGGCGGGACCGGCTGAGGTGGTTCCGGAGGTCCTGGGAGGTCCCCCCTCACTGGACCCGGGACCTGGACCCAGAACCTTCTGTCAGGGGGCCATAGTGGAACGTTTGGCCCCCTGGTTGCTATGGCAATTCCCTCCTTTTTCAGGGGACAGCCATGATGGAATGTTTGGCCCCCTGGTTGCTATGGAGATTCCCTCCTTTTTCAGGAGGCAGCCATGATGGAACGTTCGGCTCACTGGTTGCTATGGCAATTCCCTCCTTTTGTCAGGGGGCAGCCATGATGGAACCAGTACTCTGGTTATTGATCAGTGTTCTAGTGATTGATCAGAGCTCTGGTTATTGATCAGTACCCTGGATATTGATCAATGTTCTGGTTATTGATCAGTACCCTGGATATTGATCAATGTTCTGGTTATTGATCAGTACTCTGGTTATTGATCAGTGTTCTAGTTATTGATCAGTATTCTGGCTATTGATTAGTACTCTGGTTATTGATCAGTATTCTGGCTAATGAGCAGTGTTCTGGTTATTGATCAGTACTCTGGTTATTGATCAATGTTCTGGTTATTGTTTAGAACTCTGGTTATTGATCAGAGCTCTGGTTATTGATCAGTACTCTGGTTATTGATCAGTACTCTGGTTATTGATTAGAGCTCTGGTTATTGGTCAGTGTTCTGGTTATTGGTCAGTGTTCTGGTTATTGATCGGTACTCTGGTAATTGATCAGAACGCTGGTTATTGACCAGTATTGATCAGAGCTCTGGTCATTGATTAGAGCTCTGGTAATTGGTCAGTGTTCTGGTTATTGGTCAGTGTTCTGGTTATTGGTCAGTGTTCTGGTTATTGATCAGAGCTCTGGTTATTGATCAGTACTCTGGCTAATGAGCAGTGTTCTGGTTATTGATCAGTACTCTGGTCATCCTTCTGTCATCTGAAGGACGGAAGACAATCTCTGAGTTCCATAACTGACCTGGCCCTCATAAGTCGGGGTACCTTTGCTGTCCGGCTGCTCGGGGACCCTCTGGCTGAACTGCAGGGTGGAGGCCGTGTAGTGGTAACCAGGACCGGCCGGGCAGATCTCCTTAAAGGCCACTGGAGAGGAGACAGGCGTTAGGCCCCGGGCATCGGTCCTGAACGTTGAGAACAGGGGGGAACCGGAGTACCCACCTGAGCCGAAGTAGGGGCAGCGCTGGCAGTGGGCCCCCCAGGCTTTGCCCACGCGGCTGCAGCAGCAGATCTGGCGGGTGATGTTTCTGGGGATGGGCATGGAGCAGGAGGACGGGCCCTGGCCCGCCTCCAGGACCCGGTAGCACTGGCCCTTCTCCTCCGAAATCACGCTGTGGGCTGGGGAGGACACGGGGGGGTGAG